ACTCTACGGGTGCCGGTGTTTTTGAAAAAAGCCCGTTTGTAAGTATATCCAGCGGCCCGGCATTCGAACCCATTTGTATTTGTATTTTACAGATGAACAAAATCATCAAGCCACACTCAAACATCGATTTAGTCTACACGCATAAAATTCAAAAATAACTAAGAAACGAGTGAAACAGATCTAATCTTCCCTCTAATAACGTACGTAGCTATGTATATTCTAAATCAATGCTTTTAGAACATGAATACTTAAAGAAAATTAAAATTTGTTTTAAAGTATCTTTTCATTAGGAAAAATAACATCACTAGTTTTCCTCTTTCTTCGTGAAAAAACCAAAGAATTTTTTTTCCGAGGGTTCGCAACAGCAGATGTTATACCAACCCTCGGGGTGCCGGTGTTTTTGAATAATAGCCCATTTGTACATCGGACTCGAATCCAGGGCCGCCGGATTCGAACCCGGGACCTTTACCTTACAGGGACGAGCGCCGTGGCAACGCCTAAACCGTTGCGGCCACCGACGCCCCGAAAACCGAAGTTTAAATAATTGTTTGAAGTGCAGATGGCACCTGAAGATTACTTGATGTTTATCGGCCCATAAATATATTACTGTATGTACTAAATTAATGGATTTATTATTTATTTTGCAAAATATGGTTGAAAAATTAATATCAGGATCGGAGACTCGAACCCACGACCGGATTAGTCCCCAGAAGACTTAAGTCGCGACAGCTCAAGTGGTAGGGCGCCGGTGTACTGATTTTTGCAAAATAAATAGTAGATCAATTAAAATAATTACTGTGGTTATTAGGACTAAGTAAAAACATGTATATATTAATAATATATGTACTACTTTTTCGCCACTTAACAACGGGACATACGAAATTCAAAAGGTTATGACGCGATACAGACCATTTTCAGTACTTATTGAAAAAACGCTGTAACTTACCACTTAGATTTATGTTTCCCACCGAGGGTCGCAATGTCATTAGGACAGGTTCTTTAATGTGCGCACCTGGCACAAGGCCGTATCATAAATTAAGATTCTCAAGATAAGAGCACTCACCTCAACTCATGGGGGATAGTGTGAATCCCTTGAGGTTCGGTGTAGAAACCACCAAATCCACAGACTAATCATACAGACATGACGACTTCTCCCGCTTGCCTCGTACGAAGAGAAGGGTTAACGTGGCCCTCAACCGTGTGCAGAGCGGTAAATGTATACCCGAGAGGGCTGAAATGCATCAGTCGGTCTCCACCGCACTCCCTTGATAGAGAAGGCATCTCTATCTCCCTGAGTGTAGTGGCCCCGTCACAGTCCAACCGGTTATGCTTCGGCCGCGGTTTTATTTAAAGTGGAATTTTTAACCCCCAGTAATTAATCTAGTAATTAATCCTGCCTTATGTAAAGAAAACCTATAAAGGCACCACGAACAACATCTCTAAGTACCCGCCAGGGGCCTTACGTTCGACCAACGACGATTCCATTCCCACATAGCACGCTACTTGGTACTTGAAGCACCAAGCTATCCCGTCGTTCAGTTGGTCATGCACCCTCCCCCGTCTGTGAAGACAGGATCTTGTACCTTCTTGCCCCTTACCAGTTTTAAACAAAACGATTATTTGGATGTCGTGAGATGCGGTCTGGTGTGACGTAGGTTTTACAAAAACATTTTCTTTATTGTGCCAACGTTTCGATCTTTATTGAGATCATCTTCAGGGCTCAAAGTGTTTGTTTTCCGCGTAGATGTATCATTCTTGTCTGTCGTGTTGAGAGCGCCCTTCTTCGTTCTTCTCGTGTAGAAATGTGTCGTGTTTAGTGACCGTTACGTAATGATTAAGTTCTCACACATATAAACAAAACTTTACAATACCATAGTGAAGCTGATGAGAAATTGTGGACTGTAAGTGTGAGTTTCAACCGCCCTAGAAAAATCCTTGATGCTCCATTCTATGTGACAACGAAAAAACCTACACATCTAAATATTAACTTTATACAAAATCTCAGCAAATCTCATAAAACCATCCCAACAAACAAACATCCTCAAATCGAAAAACTCCCTTCCCGGCGAATTCCTCGGAACACCCCCAACTGAAGAGGTGATGACCGCGAGATCTCGTATCCAGCAGCAGTAACAGAGATACTAACTCTGGACTCCATTAAATAGAGAAAAAAAGGTCAACTTGAAGTATAGCCAATCGACTGTTTCTTCATATTTATTTTTCTTATGTACATATGAACACATCATTGCACTTATTATCTAATTAAAGGTTGTAGTAATGAACTGTAAATAAAAAAAGTCTTAAATTTTCAATACCGGCTCTCCCTTTTGTTTGGATTTAGATTTATAGAAGCTCAAATCTGCATATAATTCACACATTCACCCCGTTAAATACATTCACTCACAACGCATTAGGTGCAAAAAACTATCAGTACTGTATACAATAAAACAATTTCTACACGCTCTCTATACAGAGCCAGGATTTGCTTCCTTCAATTAAACGGAACACATATATACACAGACAATTACAGAATTGAGATATCACTATCAACCGGCAATTCCAGCTTTTGTTTAATTTACAATAAATTACCAGCACAATTACCCACCTCGGGGTCGAACTCAGTCTTAGCCGTCCAGACTCCGAGTTGGTGTGCTGTCAACAGCTACATGATTTGAGCATCCAACGGAAAGAGTTTTCAAATTCAAACCCATTCGCACTCTCACTTTTTCTTAAACAAGTCTTTCCTATTAACGTATTCACACGAGGAGATGGAGTACTCCATATTGCTCCATCATCCCTTACACCTACTATACAACTAACCTAATTAAGGGTCGACGAGGTGTTCAATATTCCGCCATCAATATTCTTACTTTACACATTCACGCCATTAAATTCACTCTCAACGCACTCTAGTTGCACAAAACTAACAGTACTGTATACAATAAAACAATCTTTTTTCATCCAAACATCGGACTCTACCGTGCTCAAGCACGATTGGTAATGTCGGGAGGCATTTCTACACGCTCTCTATATAGAGCCAGGCATCGGTCAATTTGGCGGAACACCCTTTTCAAGCCGTTTTGTTGTAGCCTCAAGCTTAAAATGATCACGAAAATTTTGATTCTAAAAAAAAATCCCTTGGATCTACTTCCAGTTTTTGTTAGATTTTTAGATTTTTGTTAGAAGCAGCATATGTAGATATTTTGTTAACTTTATTAGTAACCAGATTATATCAATTTAATTGTGCAGTTTAGAGATGCCTTAGAGTCCAAATTATTAAATAAATAAAATAAATTTTTTTCAACAATTGGTCAAAATTGTAGTACTCCACGAAATAGCTCAAATCCAGCAATTTGAAATTCATGTAGCAACTGTTGACATGTCAGTTAACTTGAAATATCACAAGTTCCCAAAACTTCGAGCCGTCCTGTACTCGTAGTACTTGATTTTTTTAAAAAGTGTGTGGAGATTAGTGACAGTTAGTCAATAATTATTCATAAATCGTGAGATGCGGTCTGGTGTGATGTAGGTTTCAGAAAAACATTTTCTTTGTCGTGCCAACGTTTCAATCTTTATTGAGATCATCTTCAGAGCCTGGGATTTACAAACATTGTTTAAATTTAACAAATACATGAAGGATGTGGAAGAAAGAGAATTTATACAATACAAAATATATTTTTTATATTCAATCAAATTATTTCTAATCACTCAAAGTGTTTGTCTTCTGTGTAATTGTGCCATTCTTGCGTGTCGTGTTGAGAGTGCCAGTGAGATATTGCTGTTTTATGTGTATATATAAAATAGTGAGTAGAAATAATTTCATTGAATATAAAAAATATATTTTGCATTGTATAAATTCACTTTTTTCCACATCCTACAGGTATTTGTTCAATTTAAACAATGTTTGTGCCAGGCACTGAAGATGATCTCAATAAAGATCAAAACGTTGGCACGATAAAGAAAATGTTTTTCTGAAACCTACATCTCACCAGTTCGCATCTCACGATTTCTGATTAATTTTTTTTTAAAGGTAGTCATAGTCTTTCTACAAATGAAAGCTTGTTTTCGCCACTTTTTTCATAATTAGTAATCATATTTTAACTTATCTATAACATCTTTATTATGGTCTACAATATGATCTCGATTTGACAATATTTACTTAAATTTAAATTTTAAAATTAGGGATAAGATCAGTTTGAATGAAAAGAAAATATTCAATATTCATTATTATTAGTATGAAGATGTTCATATGTATTTGTTAACTTAGTCGATTATTTCTATTTTTGTTGTAATTACTTTTTTATCTATTTTATTATTTTTGGGACTATTTTAATTCCTAAAACTATTATTAATATTGAAAATGTTACCAAATATGAACACATATTTACAAGATTGATACTTATGGGAAATTAAAAATATTTCTCACATAACGAGATCAAACACCTTAATATATAACACAATAAGTAATAATTTATATACAATTGAATAATCAAGTTTATCTTAAATAATAATAAATATTTTAACTTAAATAATTAAATAAATTAATAGTTTAATGTAAGTCAGAATAACTGGTGTTGATCCCTATTATGTATATGTTTTTTAACTTTTGTCAAGACAAAATTTTTATTTTATAGTGAAGTAAAATTTGAAAAAAAAATCAATTTCCGGGTTGACACGAGTTACAAAACGTTCGACAAAAAATCCTTTTTTAATTATTTTTACCAAAACGGTTAGAAACACAATTGAATATAGATTTAGTACGCGCGCACATTTTCAAAAGACACAATCGGCACATAGTGAATGGGATAATATTTGTCGAGGACGGGAACGTGACCGATCGTTGTGGAAGCGACCCGTTGGGGAATTCGGCAGCTGAGTGTGACGGATCGCTGGGTGGAGAGCGAGGCAGAGCGAGATGGAGCGAGCCCCCCCGCCCAAGGTACCCATTCGACTCTGACATAACGCATCGAGGTTTATAAAGAACTAGAGGGACCTGGGAATGATCAGAGTCAGTTGTAACACCCGGTGCCAAGGAACATGAAATTCTTAGTTGTGAGTACTCAAAAAGTGTTTTTTATTTTTTATCTTTCACCATACGGGCTGTGCTCTGTTTGGGTCTGTTAGGGCCTTCGCGTTTTGGACTACGTTTCTCAGGGGATGAGTGTTGTTTTATGTGCAGTGTTTTGTATTATTAAAATTTGAATTTAATCTCAATTTAAAATTTAGTTTTATTATTTATTTAATACATTTGTGGCATACTCTCTTTCAGAATCAGAACCATGAAAAAATTGATTGTTTTTTACTATCCATAATATTTTCAAGATTCGGCATAATCATTATTTCAGTATTTTCTTATTTATATTTTTTCTGAGTAGGTATTTGACAACATGCAATATAGTTTTTTTGACGCGAAACCTCATCATCCTCTTAAGTATGACAATAAGTTTCTATTTTACTCTTTTGGCAATTTTTGAAATTAACATTATAAAAATAAAATAAAATATAAAATTTTTATAGTTTAACATTAAACGCTTTTAGAAAAAAATGCAAACCAGTCTTCCAATTTAGTCTTTATTTTATCCAAAAATTTAAATAAATTTCACAAAATGAATAATTAAAATTTAATAAAAAATTCTAGCGAAAACATATTATTGGTAGAACAAAATGAGCCGAACACAATGTAGTTTTTCTGATGTTAAAACATTTTTTTAAATATGGCAATCTATTTTTAAAAAAATCTTTTGGTAACTTCTGACATAGATTCAGATATCAAAATAATTATGGTAGTTTTTTTAAATTAAAATTGCTTTCAGCAAAACTTTTGTTAATAAAAAAATTTCCCTCTATATTCATAAAACGCAAGACCAATTAAAACCATATGTCCCAAGAACATAACATTGGTAAAACTAAAAGTACTTCAAATTTAAAGCTGTATTAGTAAATTAAAATTTCAAATTGAGCAAAAAGCAAATATTTACTGAAGGAAAAACGAAATAAGCAAAATTTTCTTAAATATATATGGTTCCAATCTTCAAAGGTCATTGGAGGGGTGAAAAAAGGACTAAATGCTGGGTTCACCGAGTTTTCGGCTCTTTATAGTGCCATCATCAGGGCCTCTTTTATTACAAATTCAAATAAATAAAAAGTAATATACAATTAACAATTAATGCACTATAAAGTGCCGAAAGCTCGGTGAACCCAACATTTCGTCTTTTTTTTCACATGTACGAAGAAATGACCTCTAGGAAGATTGGAACCCTACGTAGATTATCTGCAGGTAGATCAACGAACATCAAAAATTTTCTTAATTTTCGATTTTCCTTTAGGTAATATCATTCAACAAACCGGTAAAGTAAAAACAAATAAGGTCACGTTTTTTGTTTATAATTACAGGGCAAAATAATTTTTCTTTAAAATTTTCTATAAAAATTTTGTGTAGTGTTTAGTGTTTGTTCGTTAGCCGATGATTATTTGGAGATCCTGAAGTGCGGTCTTGTGTGACGTAGGTTTTAGAAAAACATTTTCTTTATCGTGCCAACGTTTCTATCTTTATTGAGATCATCTTCAGGGCCTGGGATTTATAAACATTGTTTAAATTTTACAAATAGATGTTGGATGTGAAATGAACCGTTGGCATGATAAAGAAAATGTTTTTCTAAAACCTACGTCACACTAGACCGCACCTCACAATCTTCAAATAATTAAAATTTTGTTTTGAACATTCAATTTTACTCTTGAAAAAATTCCTAAAATATTCTAAGAAAGCACGTAATATTGGAAAATTATTATATAAAACATATATTAAATAAAAAGTTAAATTTAAAGGCAATCAGAACATCATAAAGAAGGAAAAATATTTGTATACTTCTGGCAACAAACCAGACACATAAATCAAATATTACATTTTACTTTTTCGGAAAAAAAATTGTTTAAACATTTTTCCTTTTGGTAAATTTAAGACCGACAGTCTTTGAGAATTACTATTTAAAAAAAATGTTTGTAAGCACTTGATGTTTAAAAAACAATAGAAACCACAATTATAAATGTACATATTATATTATAATATTAATCTTGATACTTAGGCACAGCGATTACAAATGTAAGGCAACCAATTCTTGTAAATATTCTATATTTTAATTACACATAAATTATTTTGAGATGGAAGTTATTTTGGAAAAAAGATACATGACAAAAATCCAATTGAAATTTTGAAATAATTCTAATTTGTGAGTCGATCACTTCAGGTAAGTCGTTTAAAAAAAAAAAAAATACGACCAAGAAGTGATAGCAAAAGTTGCGGCCTTTCTAATGTTATGTTGAAATCATCCATTTGACAATCGTTTTACGATTGGAGTAAGAATCGGTCCGTGAAGTCTTTGTCTCATTTTCATCCCATTTCTATTAAAGCGATTAAACTTAATCCTATACGCTTAGAGAAACAAAGTTTAACACATCAGGCTTGTGAGCCGGATCGGAAGCGGAGGGCCGACGGGCCAATAATCGGCCGACGGCTCTCGGTAATTCGGACACGAGAACAATGCATTGTCCACTGGGGCACACAATGCCGGTTATAACTCAACCGGGCCTTGGCTTCTTCGATTTCAGAGGAGGCATTTATCTTTCGCCCAATGATTTACCATCGCCTTTTTACACGGTCGGCTTATCGTGTTCCGTACCCCGTTTTCCCCTCAGATTCCAACAGTAAAGGTTTTATCCGGGAAAATCCCTGTCGTGCTAAGATATCAATTGAACTAGTTAAAATATACTTGAAATAGCCGAACTGTGTTCAGACTGGTCTCAGTCGAGGTAATATCACAAGACGAGAGACATAGGAACAGAGGACAAATTGACTCTCGTCTGGACCGCAGGTAATTGAACGAAGCTGACAAATTAGCCAGGGAGGGTCCTTTGGCATTAGCAATCGGGCACGAAACCTTAGAGAAATTTTAAAAACTATTTTAAAAGACTAAACGCAAGAGAAAATATCTTAATTGATGAACTAAAGACTCACACATTGTAGTAAGTCAATAAACTACGTCAAGAAGCCAGGAAAAAATATACCCATTAACTAGACACTGCCGAATCGAATGGTATATAAAATTATTAAGGTTGAAGAGATAGACTATACAAGTTTTGCCAAGAGCAGAAGTATATGTTATTGTGGTGTCCTAGTAAGGATGTTTCTTCTTCTACTTTTTCTTCTTCTTTCTGCAAATAAAACCGCAATTCAGTAAACCGAATTAAAAGTCATTACCAAGAGTAATAAAAAGCTAGATTATTAGCTATAAAGCATATGTCACCTTTCCACCTTCTGAGTCTATTGGAAAAGGAATTAGGCTCGTAGGACATGTAGTTTTCGAGAAAAAATAAAAAAAAATCGAAAAAAAATTTATTGACTTTTTCGATGTAAACCGACCTGCTGAGTCCATTGGCAAAGGAATTAGGCTCTGAGGACACGTAGTTTTCGAGAAAAACAAAAAAAAAATCGAAAAAAATTATTGACTTTTTCGATGTAAACCGACCTGCTGAGTCCATTGGGAAAGGAATTAGGCTCGTAGGACACGTAGTTTCCGAGAAAAACGCAAATAACTTTCAAAAAATCGAAATTTTTTTTATTGACTTTTTCAATGTAAACCGATCTGCTGAGTCGATTGGAAAAGGAATTAGGCTCGTAGGACACGTAGTTTTCGAGAAAACCCCCAAAAAACACCAAAAAATCGAAAATTTTTTTATTGACTTTCGATGTAAACCGGCCTGCTGAGTCCATTGGCAAAGGAATTAGGCTCGTAGTTTTCCAGAAAATCCAAAAAAAAACCAAAAAATCGAAAAAATTTTTATTGACTTTGGACTTTTGGAAAAGGAATTAGGCTCGTAGGGCATGTAGTTTTCGAGAAAAAATATAAAAAATCGAAAAAATCGAAAAAAATTTTATTGACTTTCGATGTAAACCGACCTGCTGAGTCCATTGGCAAAGGAATTAGGCTCTGAGGACACGTAGTTTTCGAGAAAACCCCAAAAAAACCGAAAAAATCGAAAAAATTTTATTGACTTTCGATGTAAACCGACCTGCTGAGTCCATTGGCAAAGGAAATAAGCTCTTAGGGCACGTAGTTTTCGAGAAAAACCCCCCAAAAAAATATTATTGACTTTTTCGATGTAAACCGACCTGCTGAGAATTAGGCTCGTAGGACACGTAGTTTTCCAGAAAAACTCAACAAACCCAAAATCTATAAACCCCTCGCTTCATATCTACAATTAATTATACTGCAAAAATGTACGGTGTTTAGTGACCGTTAGTTAATAATTATTTGAAGATCGTGAGATGTGGTCTGGTATGACGTAAGTTTTAAAAAACATTTCCTTTATCGTGCCAACGTTTCGATCTTTATTGAGATCATCTTCAGGGCTCCACTCAACACGACACAGAAGAATGACACATCTACACGGAAAACAAACACTTTGAGCTCTGAACAAAGAAAATGTTTTTCTAAAATCTACGTCACACCAGACCGCATCTCACGATCTTCAAATAGTTATTGTACTGTAAAGTGAATGGGGAATTCTAACCGGATTTACAAAGTTACGAGTAGAACGGTTGCACGTATTGTGTGCGGTCCGTATAAAAAAGATCTCATTTATTCCTACAGAATTAGGAACGCGAGAATTTTCAATAGGGATGACAGATGATCGATGGCTCTTTCTGCCGGTGAGTAAAAAAAAAATAAATAAGGCGTTTTCTGGCTTGGTGTAGCCAATTTATCCCTTTTGATCAGAAATGTCAATAAAGCGACCTTAAAAAAATATTATTAAAAATGTTCGTATTGGTGTTTGATTGGCTCTGAATTGTGGAAAAAGGTTTTGGAGTTACGGCTGTTTTGAAACTTTTAATATTCTTTTTATAAGTACGGCCGGCATTTTGTTTTTTACGTTTTCTTTACATTTGAGACAATGCGTTGTCGATATTCAGCTCAAGTGTTTTCCCCGTCGGGGGACTTATCCATCACTGACCTCAATCATTTTGTCTGTTTTGCCCGAGGCGAAGTGGAAGGAAA